TGATTTAATAATGTTTTTGTGTTGGTAAAGTATAACCTTTGTACTTTCATTGCTTTGCTTTCGAGAAGGATGGAGAAAAATGTCACCACTTGGTCTGTGAATCAAGAAAAACCTTTTTACGAATTGAATTTCCCAATCGCGATTTGAATCGCTGGCCAGTAAGATTTGCAATACATTAGTACCCTCGTGTCGAATAATCAGAGGAACAAAAATATAATAGAAATGCAAATATGAGTACATTCGTACTAAAATTTACTAGCATTCATATGTATTATGTATAGTGTAGTATATTGATATAATTACTTACAAAACTCACCATACTACAGGTTGCTCATAATAAATGTTACAAAGGTGTAGGACAGGAGGAAGAATCGAACATTTTAATTAGTTGCCTATGAACATATAGTGAGAAATTCCATATAACGCAATAATGCATTTCTTCATAAGGCATTTGAGCCTGATTGTTAGGCAACACCATATGCACAGATGTTCGACGTATAAAATCGCCTTGGCTGCATCAGAGCGTGACCTGGCATAAGGAGCTACCTAAAACCAAAGGGGGAAAATACACATACTCCTCTCGTTGTCATTGCAAAAAGGAGGTGAAGCTCTAGGTTAGTCGAGGCCTGAAGGGCCGGAGGTGTCCCCGCGGATCTCGCCTGACGCCCCCAGTCCGCTGGCAGGCGGCGCTCGGGAGGTTGGAGGGGAGGCCCCCAGCGCTCCTCGTGTGCTCGCTCGGCCTCTGCCGCCGCCGGCGCGTGCGTCACGCCAGAGAGAAGGCGGCGCGTTGGCATTCGACTGGCTTCGCTCCCGCTGACCCCGCGATCGACAATCGCCACGCACGCCCCTTCGTGGCATCTCGGAGTGCGGAGACAGCCCCCGTGCATACTGATGTTTGCCATGGGACTAGTTCTCAAGTCAACACAAGCGGCGGAACAGCTGCCATCAGGGAGAACATTTTATTCTAATAATTAAAAATGGTAACATACTAATTATTTACTCGTGATTTTGCTTATGGGTTTTCAAACCAAACAATACATTAAATTTAACTCTAATTCTTGCTCTTATCTCCGCCTATTTCGTTGCGCTAGTGGTATTGCAACGATGATGATGCCCCACTTCGGAGGGTAACGCCCACCACTGCTGACTGCATCTACGAGCGAAGAGTTCGGAGAGCCAAGGAAAAAAGGTTTTCTTCAGAAGATTAACAAAAATGAATTATCTTTCATTTACGCAACACAATAAAATGGAATTATTTTCTTCAATTATTCATTTATAAATGAATAACAATGAGTTCAATTATACTGCATGATAAAATACAAAATGCGAGTAATTACAATGCGTACATACTTTATTGACGTACCTCTCATATACCCGTTTTTGATATTTCTCCTATTGATTGTATTTCTACTAAACTGTTTGACTGTGAAAATAATTTGTTTGATTGATAATGTGTCTCCGGACTAGAAGGCATTAAAGAAAACAATTTGATGGTGAATTTCAGCCCATCTTTCTTCTTGTTTTCAAAATAGTAATTATTAGAGATTTCTTGAAAATCATGTGTTCTGTAGGGATGTTAATTTTGACGTTTATCCGTAAATACTAGAGTTGATACGTATTCTAAAAATGTGACTTGTGTTAAAACATAAATTGAAATATATATTATGTTTAGCCTAGAAATAATTCTAGAGTTTTATGGATTGAATCCTTGTCTTACGTAAAAATTTAACTCTTTATATCTCGATTTCTCCTCACTGGATACTGAGATAAATCTTAATCTGAGCACGAATTATAATCATTCTTTCTTTAAAAAAAATAATTATTTCATTTCTTTTTTGTCCTTCCTTTCTTTTCTTTCTTTCTTTTTTCCTCATTTTCCGTCTTATTATGTAGAGTATACAAGTAAATTCCTTTGTTCACAATTAGGGAATAGTTGATAAAACACAATCGCACTCTGGACTGCCGTGTCTGTGTGTGACTACCCATCTTACATCATTTTGTCTTGAGAGAAATATCCTGAAGGGGAAATTCCTACCTTCCTATTGGTTGTTTTAATAGGTTTATTGTGTATTATAGTTCACAAAATGTTAATGATGTTTTAATAATGTACGTAAAATTGTATATCTTTTAGCACGTTCTCATGTATAAGAATACTTTTTCCTACAACTGTACATCGGTCTACTTTGTATAACTACCTGTTGTAGTGATATATCTAAGATAAAGTAGGAAATTAAATTTTCGCGGGTAATAAGACGCTCTGGATGGGAGAAGTAGGGATAAACTCAACATTCATCTTTTTCTTTCTCCTCTTACTTCGCCAAAAAGATTCTAAACGAGCTCCGGAAAACGGTTATTCTTCGATAGCTCGCATTGCCGGGGTGTGCTATAGTAAAAGAGGATAAATGTTGTTCATTTGTATAGTAAATTACTTTCTCGGCCGCATTGTTTAATCAGAATCCTTATTTTATGGGACTTCAATACCAAAAATTGATTGACCTATCTGTCTGCCTGTGGCCAATGGTAGCGCCATAAACAGTTCTGACGATTTTCTCCAAAGTAGAAGTATTCCATTAATTTTATCCGGATGTTCATTGGCTGTGAGAACATTTTTGAATTAAATAACAAATTCTGAAATAAATAGACGTTACTCAGACTGAAAATAGGAAGATAAATTTGAAAAAGTGTGATTGACTCTTCATCCCTTAGTTCTCCTGTCACCATTGTAATAATGTTATGTAAAAAATTTCTGGCCCGATTTTATCCCAGTATTCCCACAAATTCTGCCAAAAATCGACGAATTCCGATTGTAGAAATTACCTTGAGTATTAATGTCAGAATTAAAATTAAATCTGTAATATTAATTCTGTATGAAAAAATTGTAACAGAAATGTGTGTGGTAACTTCAATCAACAGTGTGTAGGAACGTTATTGATGATATAAAGGACATTTTATGTGCATGCCATTTCTAAGGATCAAAAGAAAAACAACTGTAGCAATATTCTTGTTTACGCATCAACAATAAGACGATGTTGCTCCGTTTCGTGTCGTTTTATATATTTTATTTTGACGAGTGACGCAAAATAATACTACAAGTTTTACGAAATTCAGGAATAAATATTCAGATAAGGAAGAGTCGACATTTTGATCTCAATATGACCTCTTGACCTTCGATTCAGGATGCGACTGGCCGAGAGACCAGACCGATAGGCGTCCCGTATCTTAATGTCTTTAAGACAGTGTGTCTTCCTCGCAGAAGCTTGTGGTAAGGAATCCCGGATTACGCTACCTGCTTCACACTGTCTGTAATTCGAAAAAAAGTGCTATTCACTACTTCTTTGAACTCATGAGGTTTACGCAGAAATTTGTAGCACGAAGAGAACAGAGAGTAATTCCATCGCTTGTTTACTGGCTACAACCCACGGGAGACAGCATAGGCAGACGTTGCGAAAGGTGCACACCAGAAAGGAGAGGAATTCTGAACCTGACCCTGAGTTCTTGCCAGCGCCCGATGTACGGCGCATATGCTACGTAACAGCAGGAAGTAATAGGGAGCATTGTGATGTATAAATGATACATAATCTTTTCGCTCTCGGGGAGTAAACTCGTGACTAAAGTCTGAGTACACGTTCTAAAATATCAAAGACGAATAAATTAATATCTTTTCAAAGTTGGTGTATTTCAAATTTACGTTCCTCTCTCTCTCTCTCTCTCTCTCTCTCTCTCTCTCTCTGTCCTCTCTCCTCTCCTCTCTCCCCCTTCTCTCTCTCCCCTCTCTCCTCTCCTCTCTCCCCCTTCTCTCTCTCCCCTCTCTCCTCTCCCCTCTCTCTCCTCTCCCTCTTTTCTGTCTCCCTCTCTCTCTCCCTCATCTCTCTCTCCCTCATCTCTCTCTCCCTCATCTCTCTCTCCCCCTCATCTCTCTCTCCCTCATCTCTCTCTCCCTCTCATCTCTCTCTCTCTCCCTCATCTCTCTCTCTCTCCCTCATCTCTCTCTCTCCCTTATCTCTCTCCTCTCAAATGTGATGAGGATGGGAAGATAAGAATATTTACCGCGTTCTATAGCTAATTTTTTGTTTCTAAAACAGTAAATTTTCATTAATTACAAATTCATGCAAAAGTGTATGGCCATAGTGTACAGTATGTGTGTACGTGTATGTATGGCCATAGTGTACAGTACAGAGAGATTTTCGTAAATGTATAAAAAGCAATGATGAATGTTAATAAACAGACTAGGTGATTAATAGAGGCATGATAATTATGTTCTTTTATTATTAGTGGTATGACAAAAAAATTGCAATTACCAAGCTTTATGTCATATTCCATGTTCAAATGTTTATTATGATGTTTTACCATGTATAATAAATTATATTTTTTTGTTACTAACAAAACCAAGGATTGTCATATGTACCAATAGCATTATCAATCAAGGTAACCCTTCAAAAATATCAATAGTTCCCAGCAGACATTCATTTACATTTCCAAAAGCAGAAAGGAAATAATATGTGACAGATTATCAAACAAAAAGGTAAGTTCGGCCACAGTATGTATGTAGCCAGATACAATAAGAGATATAAATAGTTCGCAGCAAATGTGTGGAAATTGTTCGAAGACCGATGCTCCCGTTTCCGATGGTGAATGGTGACCTCAATCACCATACAATACTGTTGTCAACTGGACGTTTTGCTTTGTTAGAAATCACGAAACGTTCACGTGCGAGTTATTTTCCGTCTATGAATCGCTAACGTTAACTTTTTGGCTAAGCAAATTTCACTTCTCACGTGGCAGGTTATTGATTGTTTCCAAGATACTAATAATGTAGTTATGTAACTTTCTCCGAAGCGGTATTTGAATTACTCTAAAACTGCATTTCCCATTGTCTTGAGCTCCAGGGGATTGGAGAGGGCATTTTTGATATTAGGAATATATTGTTGAACTCCTCGCAAACACGTGTTTGTATTAGCACGCTAAATGGCGTGAAGCAGCAGTGGCTGCGCTGTGCTCACCTGCGACGGGGTGACTGAGAGCGTGCTGTTGGGCTCCGCCATGGACACGAGCGCGGGCGACGTGTAGGCGGAAGAGAAGCCCACGAGCATCGAGCCCAACGCCACCGCCACCGACGCGAACATCTGCAACAGGCACAGGGCTGGTCGCCTGCTGCGCTGGCGGGCGTATTGCTAATACTATAAGTAGTGCTCGGTTTTCATGGCCCAAACACCATCCAGGAAAAAGAAAACATGAAAGGGCAGAAGTCTAAGGAATGGACGAATATTCAATTTTCCATTGGTGTTGTGTGTGTGTGTGTGTGTAAGTAATACTGTACCCACAAATAGTAACATTCTGTGCACGATAAATAATATACGTATCCCGTATGATATCAAATTATCTTCAAAAACAAATTTAAATACTCTTGGATCTCTATTTTGGTTCACTTTCTTTGGTACCTATATATAATTCTTAATAACCAAAACAAATGTTTGATGCCTTTATTGTTACGATGTTACATGCTCTTCATATCAATAATATTTAAAATCTTTAAATGTGTGGAAGCGTGTTACTGGAAATAAATAATAAAATGAATCAAGACAAAGTGAAACTAAGGAAAATTCCCCCAAATTAAATTAAAAAATTGAATACAATAACCATTAATTACGCAATGAAAATTAATATAACCTCCGGGTTATATCGAGAATGTCTGTCCAAGTGAGAACTGCTAAGCTGCAAAACTTAGAACACAGGAAAGACATCATTAAGTACAAACCAGATTGCTTTATTTAATGCTGAAGACTGACTACTAGATTCCTCCTATCCCGGTTTTTTCTCTTATGTCAGTTATATAATGATAATGCATCGTGCAAAAAAATTATTTGCACGTACAATGCTACAATCTTAACATGAAAATCTCCTTGGCATTCGATCGACTGAAACCCGCATTCATCTGCTGTTTGAACTCTGCTTCATTCAAGTGATTTAAATTGAGAAACATGCCACTGCTGAATATGCGAGTGAAATGCCTAATAAAAGGACGTTTGTTGTCAATACTTCCAATCCTGAATTATTCATTATGAGTCACGAGAAACCGGAACTAGTACTCTAGTACTTCCATATTTGTAGATGCACAAACTCGTCATGCATTCTTCCTTGCGAGGCAATTAAACCAAAAATACGACACGTGCAGAGTAAATTACTCGTATTTAGAATCTTTCCTGTTCGAAAGATTGAGTTTACTCATGACTCAAACTTGCTTCCAAAGATACATAATAGACAGCCGAGTAAAAGTTCAGCATGTGTCAAGTATATTGGTAAAATATATGACGTTAACTGCCATGCTAGGTCATTTTAAATGAGGAACATGTTTCTAATTTCCACAACAATTAATCGATTTAACGCTTATGCAATTAGTTATGATTATACATCTTCAGAACAGATTTCAGGTTGTCGTTTTGAGAGACGTCAAGAAGCATTGATAATGGAAGCATTGGTAAATAGAATTAAAATCAGGTTGTCACGTACACTATGTGATCAAAAGTATCCGTACACGTGGCTGAAAATGACTTGCAAGTATCAATCTTCCTCCATCGGTAATGCCTGAATTCAATAGGCTGTTGGCCCACCCTTAGCCATGATGACAGATTCCACTCTCGCAAGCATACTTTCAATCAGGTGCTACAAGATTTCTTGGGGAATGGCAGCCCATTCTTCACGGAGTGCTGCATTGAGGAGAGGTGTTACTGTAGGTCGGTGAGGCCTGGCACGAAGTCGACGTTCCAAAACATCCCTAAGGTGTTCGATAGGATTCAAGTCAGGTCTCTGTGAAGGCCAGTCCATTACAGGGATGTTATTATTGTGCAACGACTCTGCCACAGGCTGTGCAGTATGAACAGGTGTTCGTAAGATGCAATCGCCATTCCCGAATTGCTTTTCATCACTGGGAAGCAAGAAGGCATTTGGAACATCAACGTAGGCCTGTGGCGTGATAGTGCCATACAAAACAACAAGGAGTGCAAGCCCCCTCCGTGAAAAACACGACCGCACCATAACACCATTTTGGACTTGTCCGGATACTTTTAATCACCTAGTGCAGATATGTCAAGTCCATTCATTGGTTTTGAATGTCGCAAGTGATCTCGCTTTAGCTAATTCTTAGGCCAGTCAGAATTGTATTACAATTCCTCACTATTACATCGCTGCGTTTCAAAAAATAAGAGATCTTTATTCACCAGTAACCACTTAATATTTGTATAGCTTACCCTAGTCGTGAGGTAAGATATTTTTTCTTCAATAAATTACAGCTAAACGTGCAGAAACGGGCATTTGATTTGGAAGTCACCACTATTAACAGCCATTTCAGCGTGGGACAGATTGGTTTCCTCAAAGCCTTGTGTAAAAATGCCCTCTATTAAGCACTAAATTGGCCCTGTGGTAAGAGACCGACGCATTTGTTGTGTTTATATTTATTATACGTAGGATACGCAGGATTTCATGCACTATCATAGGCGAAAATATCCATTCAAACACGCACTAACAAAGAGACATAAACACGATGCAGGGCAAACATTTACAAAGCATGCAAAATCATTTTTAGTTTAGTACATATTTTATTGTGGTTGTAACAGTAAACAAATTACACTTTTACTGTCAATTTTTTCCTTTCATAAGAAACGATTGTGTTTAATTTCAGTAAATACTTTTTACGACAGAAGACGTAACTGAAGCGTACATCAAAGATGAAAGATAAGCCAATGAGAATCAAATTCAGCCTTTCCTAAAGTTAATCATATATATATATATATATATATATATATATATATATATATATATATATAATTACATTTTGGGGCAATTTCAAATCAGGATTGCATTTTAAGGCTTTAATAATTTATCCTTGGCTATCACCCTCATACCTCCAAACACTAATTCCAAAGACATTTTAATTTTTTCACAATGTTTAATGTTTCCAGTGGTAAACCTGCTGTTTATGAACTGATTTTCTAAACTGTTGCAATTTTACAAAATTCGATCAAGTTTATATTTTTTATTCAGAGATGATTATATAGATATATAGATATAGATAGATAGATAGATATAGTTTTGTTATTTTGACTTAGTGTCTGCTCTTGATTTTTGCCCGCCCGTTGTTAGTTATCAAATGATACTAACGTATGGCTTCCTGCACATTATCGTTGTGACTGAATCGCTGGGTGTTAATTCACGACGCAACTGTTGCTCACAGCACGTGTACTGATGGGGTAAAATTTGTTGTAAAACAAGAATCAAAGAAAACTGCTGGGATACGTCTGAGAAGTGTGTGGATCTAAGAATAATATGCTCTTTATTCTTTATATGAATCAATTTTGATATTGACAAATTATGCAAAACATAATAATTAACCAGTGGTGCTGTAGAATGGCACAGACACACCTGTATGAGCTACTTACTTATTCTTCGATCTGAGATATCTTTTCGGTTTCCCCGTCTTCTTCTCGCCTTTTATCCCCTCCATCTTTTCTCAATCTTTCGTATCTCGAAAAGAAGAATTGAATATGACTTTAAGACTATTATAGGAAGGTAAAATCTGGTCATGCAGGTACATTTTCATTCGAAAATGTCGAACAATTTTTACGAAAATGTTATTTGAGGTTTTTGAAAATGCATATTTTGAAGCTCAATTTCACATAAAACGTTTTTTCGAGAAAGTTCATAAGAAATTATTTGAAGTGATAGTACTCACAAATGCGATAATGTATAAAAAAATTCCGAGATGTAAATATTCACATGTAAGATATTATTTTAGTTTTGTTTGATATAAAAACAACAAATAAATACAATAAAATGGCATTAATATCATGACATTCAATGCTTTTGACACTATGTTTAAAACAATTTACTGAACCATTTTCCAGAAAATAACGTTTGAGCTATTCTCAAAATGAATTTTGAAATTTGAAGATAGTTCACACAGAAAATGTAATGCGTACCAACTGCATTGAAATTTGCGAAATTAGGCTTCATGTCCTCTTAACATATTCTCCATTATATGGTCAATTGTACTAAAGTCCATTATTCTCTACGATCATGAGTGGCCACTTACCTTAGATTTCAATTAATTGATTCACTTCTTTCAAAGAACATTCACAATTTATTGACAATCTGTTCTGTACAGGTGCGTCCCCAATTCATACAACTGGGTATCCGTATAAAATGTTTGAAATTGTCAAGAACAAATGTGGAACCCTAAGGTATAACCTGAGATATGTTGAAAATGTGCGTTCTAGCATTAAACCCAACAGATTCATTCTAACTACCGGTATTAATTTTTGCTGCCACCAATCGCTCCATCCATCCATTCCCAGTTGGGATGTGGTGGAGGTGTCCTATTGTACAGTTGAAATTCTCTAGATGACTGGGTTTTGGTTCTGAGGTAAGGACATTCTGCGCCGCAAGGGCAATACATGGGATCGATTGTATCACGATTGTCTTGGCTGATGGATTATGGAAGAATTAAACTTGGCAAGGTAAGGTAAGGTGTTAAATAGTCACTACGAGTTTCCACTAAGACGCTTTTTCTGTAATACATTCGAATTCAGCATTTTAAAGCTGAGGTAGTATTTATTGTTAATGATTGAGACGGTGTCATGCCTTTATTACGCATGTCCTGTCTTTCTTGACAGTGACTCGCTGATCGAAACTTTGTAGCGCTGTTATCGATATTTTTCGGTCTTGTTATCTGCGCGTGCGACGTTGTGTGGGAAGAGCCCGTCGACGGTTGAATGGGCGTGGCCGAAAAAAGTCCAGCAGGACCGTTTTCCGAACCCTCGACTCTCTCATTCAGGTACGACGTATTAATTTTCACGGTCTGATGAAATGGTGAAGATGTCCTCGATAGATAAAAGAACTTGTTAATGAAGCTAAAGGGAAAATTGTGACGAAAGTCTGTTTGTGAAATGTGACATTTTCGAGATTGGTCGTTGATGACTCTTATCTGTGCTCGTGTAGCCGTACGATATCTAAAGGCATCGAAGCGACAGCACTTGGAGTTACATTTGTGCATTTGGAAATCAGGGTAATATTTTGAATTCATTGAATTTCGCTTGGTCCCTTCCGTTACAAATAGAAACATCTCGAAAAGAACGTCCTGACGCTTTGGAGAATGCTCTAGGGACGGGGGCATTTTTTGAAATCCAATTCTGGCTTTATTTGTTGTGTTCAACAATCGGAGTGTGAGTATGAGAGTTTGAGTGAAAGAAATAATGAAATATGAAAAGCATGCTAGTAAGATGTGAATGAAAGAGGAAGAATGAAATATATTGACAATGCGATATTGCAATGCAATGTTTGCGATAGTGAAGTTGTGGGCTTCCGCGATCTGTCATGGAAATGACAATTTTATTAGTCAAGATCATTTAAATGTTTGCGACAGTTTAACCTTTTTTTTCTGAAACAGAAAACAACTTCATTTGAATGGAATGACATAGTTTCTATGCCGAGGGTCACTCTGAATAACAACGGTGTCCCTAATGATACGTACATTTCTAGTGTATGAAGCCGACAGAAGGGAGAGAACCTCTAAACTGACATACAGGAGTAATAAATGTAAGGCGCTATAAATGAGTAATAATTGTGAGTTCTAGTTCTAATCATGTCTTGAGTATCTTGCATGCATGTAATTGAAGGAAGCTTGGTGTATTAATTCATCTAGTTTCTTAGTGTTGTCGGCTCCGCTGGCGGGGTGATTGCTGCTCTTCAACTCTTGGCCACCCACCATTAACTCACAACTTGAATATCTGTAACTGGAAGTGTTTTGTGAACGAACCTGTCGGCCGAGGCCCTGCAGCGGCTGCGGCTGCAGCGGCTGCGAGCCGAAGCTCTGCTTCGGCTTCCCGTGGAGCAGCTCCTCGGTGACGACCGCCAGCTCCTGGCCCTTCGTCATGGCGGCGCCGCGCAGCCCCAGCGGCTCTGCCCGCCGCCCCTGCAAACGACACGCGTTCGTTTCATGTAACATGATTGAGGGGGAAAACACTGACGGTCGTCCTCGTGGCATCGGAGGCTCTTTGTTACCAATTGTTTTTCTTCATATTAGCTTGTTTTTCACATGAAAATTAAATAAATACTTTTAAAAATTAAAATTATTTCATTATGTTTCACTGCCACTACAAATTATTTTTTTGTTTTCTGAAGACCGCAGGCATTACCGAGCGACTCGTTAATGTATATCGGTAATGTACTCTCCAAAAATTCCTCCGTAATCAAGATGGGCGCGATAAAGATTAATTGTTATGAGTTCCGCTTTCGCGTCATAATGTGGTTCGTGAGTTTTAGAATGCTTCAGTGGTCGCAGTGTTGGTGACCTTTTCCAGCGAAAGACGATTTTGTCGTTCGTGGCCATTCTGGCTGCGGAAGTAAACCCTTTATCGGGCGTTTTCGTCACCAAATGTTAAAGTAATTGCTGTGTATAGGTCAGAATTAAAATGTTTATAGCAAGATTTGGGTTCAAAAATGTAAATCGGTATTAAAACTAGATCCATGTCGCCTTACCATTCGAAAATCGTCATTTGGTTTCTAGTGCGTTTATATTTTACGTGTGGCGAAGATGATAGACTGTCATAAGGTAATTGTTTTCTAAGTATGCCTTCTTGCCTTTAATTAAAAAGAAAATAGTAATTAATATACGCAACTAAAATGCAAATAATATTTCAACAAGCAGTAATCGTTGAAACTAATAAAAATTGTCGAAAGTTACAATAGTCTTAGATTATTCAATTATTGTGTCATATTTAAGGATAGTTTTCCGATAGATTTTTGTGGGCTGACACCATTAATCAGAATAGAAAATGTGCTAATCATTAATAAAATTGGAAAAGAAACTAATATGTACTCTTTCAATCATGTTTTCATATAAGAATACATACATGTACACTTCAGTGAAGTGTTTTTAAAAGTGTACATTCAGTGGTTACATTTCTGCCATAGATAAGGGCCATAATCAATATATTTTATTAGTTTAAGAACCTTTGAAGAAACGATACTGTGGATGATCGGTATCATTCTTCATCTACAGGTACTTCATTCGAAAAACGTGGTATAAGCTCTTACCTTCCGAACGTGAACTAAGTGGACGCATTTCGTTGCATAATCGGAACGGAGTGGCCTTGACTGTGGAAGCGTGACTATCCTTTTTTTTAAAAAATTACTATGATTATCGTAGAAATGGATGTCATGTCAGACCGTGCCCTTGACTGTAGTATCCGTGGTTAGTTGCCCAATTGTGTACACATCCAAAGTGCGATATACGTATGTCACAGAAATACTAAGAATGCCTCTGCCGATATTCTCCCTTCTCTGACCATTCTGCACGAAGTTTATCGCTAGTGTTCACTAGCGAGAGAATCAATGTCGAGTGAATGTACGTCAGCGAAAATTCAAGTGCTCACTTTGAGCTTCATTTTGAAAGCGAGGGATTCGCCTGCCCGTACGGAAACTCCGTTTCCTCGGCGCAACGACCCCCCACTCCGTCACGGAGCTCATTTGCGGAATTTCCCTCAATAACTCAGATCCTGAGAGGGAAACTATCGTCTTCCAATTATTCCTAGTCCAAGTGATGTCGTTTAGATTCGATCATCGTGAATTTTATTTCCCGAAGTCAGGCTTTGACATTTCCCGGGTGTCCTGTATATGTTGGAGGCGGCCACCATTCATATATTTTACAAACATTGCAGGTTCCAAACACGCCCTATTCATAATTCTCCCCTTACGCTTGAAGCCCAGATCTATCGCCCGAGGCAGCCTCCAGAGCTCTAGGCTAAAATAGTAATGTATCCATTATTACATTATTCAACATGATTTTCTATGACCACATAATTTTCAGATTCCTTAATCCATCTCTTTGCGCTGATTTCAGAGCTACATTTAGTTGTTTTTCTATCACGTACAGTTTTTTGCAAATTGTGTCAGGTCATTTTTGACTGAAAAGTAAATTTTCGGAAAGGAGAATTTTATTAAGAAGGAAATAAATTTTATTTTTGTAAGTGGGGCAAGTGATTATCCACTTGTTCTACCCATCTGGCTGTTAGATAAGCTGATAGGTAAGAAACAGTGATATTGTTTACATACTATAGTGCAGTGACGTGCTATAATATTTTGTTCGTACAGTTTTTTTTACAAATGACTTGATGCGTGTTTGGATAACCCAGACGTGTTCTTCTATTTTGTGGCAGCTAGGTAACTGTTAAGCAAAAACATTAATAGATTCGTGGAGAAGGTCTATTATGGATATTCCGTCATACGGCAAGGCGATCGAGACAAAAGGTGAGCAACACACGCGGCATGCCCAACATGTGCTGTTATTGTGTGAAAAGTCAATGGATTGTGCAATTCCAAGTATTTAATGGGTGCCACGGAATCACGATTGTTATTATTGTTTAGGTAATGTTCAAGATCATAACCCAAAATAAAAGAAACTAATCCTAACATTTACTACCTTTCATTTAAAGCCAGAAATTTACGAAAGTTGGTCGAGTAGAACGCTCAATTATTTTTCCAAACAAAAAACACCTAGTGTTTTTAAATATAAAGATTTTTGCAATTTTCAAAACGACAAACGTTTTAATGAAAATCGGAACTAGATCGTAATTATATATGCACGTTCTTCTCTTGGAGCAACGTATATAAAGAAAAAAATCAGCCATTTTCCAGAAAAGTTTTAAAATGTCACAGGAACTTCGTGATGAAAACTCATAAGAGTGAAAATATTTTAATGATCTCCGGAACGGCGCAACTGGATATTACTCCTGAAATATTCAAGATGTTTCAGCTAATTTCACATAGATATGCGTCACACATCCTACTATCCATGCAGACATTCGATTTCCGAAGAATTTTGGGTACAAAATTGCATGTGTCTTCTCGCCACCTGCGCCAGTCTAGACCATCTTTGGAACCGCTGTAATAGACCTGACACGCGAGTGTGTGTGAAGTTGTAGCTGAAAAGATCCTCAAACGCTTTCTACGTCTGGAAGTTTCAAATCGTATCGCTGAGGTGATATCAATAAAAAAGATGTAAAATAAAAATGCACGATACAAATACGAACACTAGCGCCAAACGATTTTCTCCAAGAGTAATATTCCCCAATCATTCTGGCCAGACTCGAGGCTCTGCGAATATTTTGATTTTGGGGAATACTTTACATGTAGCCTCAACATTATCGAAATATTCTCAAAAATAGCTCGATTTGTTAATTGCTGTTTGCCCACGGATAGCGTCAAGGATGCTTAAAAGAGGAGAGTACATCGCAATCCGTGCTTTTTCTGAAATTGAAAAAGTTAAAACCTTTTCGACGTTTTTCTGCAACTACAATATGGTTAGATTTTTCCTGAGTGAAATCTTTTCTTCAAATACAGATCTTGAAATGAGTAATGTACAACGTTTCGAAAATATGAAAAGATATCTTGAAATTTCGCGTAAAATAAGCAAAATTTGCAAATAATTATTTTCTCAAAAAATGGCTCACTTTCTTCTTAAAATGTTTTCTTCAAATATATTAAAAATTGTATAAACATTGGTGCCCCTCACATGTTTGGAAAATTATTTTTGAAAATTGCAAAAAGCGTTACAATATTACGATATTGAAGATAGAGATTTTTCTCTACAACAAAGTTTGATCTTTAAAAAGGTCTTATACAATATTTTGAAAAAACAAGTAGTTTTCGCGTAATTTATTTTTGAAGTTAATGCAATTTATAAAAAACAAACCTTTCCTCCACAACAGATCCAAATTGTTTTTTTGATTTTTTCTGTCACTGGTCTTATTTTCGTTGAACTCTGAACTTCCGACAATAAGAGTGTGTAGAAAATCGCCGATTTCTGGTGTACGATTACTTATTTTCTCATCTTACTGAGTAAGGCAAGAATCAGAATGTATTAAATGCAGAAATTTTGTACTTGTAAAAATAGATATGCACATGAAAATCATTCCTTAATTATAATCTTAACTGTTACCAATATTACGAAAATGTATGTGCTTTTGCAGCTCGTAGTTTTCGCAGATGCCCTTCCTCCCTTCTACAACCATCTCGCGAGTGTTCTACTTTGCCTAATGCGATTCGTCTTTGTTTTGCGTGACTTTGTGGGTTTACATTTACGTACTTACAATGTAAAAGTATACATCATCGGGTTGTTTGTCACTGATAAAATGAGACAGAAGGAAATACAGCGTGAAGTCATGCGAATTAGTACATCAGTTAATGTAATTCAGGGTCGGATATACATCCTTTGGGCTCAATTTTTTTTTTTTTAACGAAATGTTGAGAATGAAATGTCAAAATTTAGAAATGATCTGAAAAGGCCCAAAATGTAAACAAAAGCAGATGAGTATAAATATGCTGTCATGTGTATAATAGAAAATGTCATCATTGAGATGAATTACGAGTAAGTACTTTTTGAATGTATTTGGGCATGGAAAAGTAGCTCCAAGTGTGTGTTTCAAAAATGTAATACTTAATAATGTCGGTATAGAACTATCCAATATCTTGTAGAACCATCCAGTTTAAAAGTAGAATGAAATTTTCAACTACAGTAATAATACTACTACGAGACCAAGGGATCATAGCGCAAGTGTTTATACTTCCTGTAGAATGTCTATATGTTTAATTCAGAGTGAATAATTATGTACAGTCTCATCTATTCGCTAAAAGTGGCAAATACTTATTTCGGTAATAGTTTGGGTATTTATTTCAACTCGCGCTTAAACTCTATAAAATCTTACCTATCATTTACGAAGAGAAAAATTTCCTTTGAAATATTGAAAAATTCAGCTTTAACCATTGACTTAGCTAGAAGTTTAATTAAAAAACAAATATGTGAATATCAAATTTCAAAATGAGTCAACTGTATTGAGCAATAATATAGAATCGAGGAAGTTCATAATATTTTCTGTATTTCTGCGATTAATGTATAAGATGTCTGTCCACAACATGTGTGTCTGACTGGCTGAATTTTGTATAGTATTTGAAACTTCATATAAACTCTACGTAATAAAAGTGACGATTGCAATAATCGACCGTGATTATACTTTTTTCTTTATTAAATTTCTGAGATTTTTTTTCTATTATTCCTGGTAATTGGTGTAAGTAACCTACTCAAACTCTAAAACCCCCTGAACTTGGTAAGGATGTGCAGGCATTCATTTGTTCGGTGCATTCAGCAGAAAGAACTGGGTGACAGAAGAGTGTTCCTTTAGAATTCATTGTACTGAAAAATAACTAGAACATTTCGTTATCAGCAGTCACAACCGACTTCAACAAACAGCAATTCCGCTCAGAACTGCTCTTAGCTGCTGGCGTCATGCGATAGGCGAATGATTTGCGTTGATTGATTGACCGACTAGCATTTTGATTAACGTAAATATCCTTTGAAAAGTATCCTGTTTACGCAAGATAATGTGAGAGTGTCTCCATTCATGGCCAGTCATTATTACAGCTAACCTACATTAGTATGATGGACAGTAAATATCATTTTATTTAAATCATAGGTTAGTTTGCGCTGAATACGAACACTGTTTTGAAAAATAAAGCCATAACTGAGGGCTTGCATTGGCGGACAAAATACATCATAAATTACCCTTGTCTAAACCATAAGTAAAGATTTCACAGACGATATCGGATAATGGAAGGATGCCAGGAGGAAGTTTGTAAATTCTATCAAATGCGAACTAGTACTCAAAAATTAAAAGTAGTCGTCTTGCATACGAAAGTTATTTAAATGCGCATTTCGAAGAGACGCACTTCACCATTAGCGCGTGATGGCTCAGCGATAGCGCACACGTGTTCCTAACGCACGGCCACGCTACTTTACAGCTACAAACGGAGTATATTATTTGAAATATACATTAGTATGGGTTAAAAATATGAAATCACTTTCGTGTACTTGTTTCATTTCATTCTTGAACATGTATATTAGTACTCTATTCAAATAACTACACCCTACACAAATAATGATGTGTGAAATTTCGTGCACTCCAAAGTGCGTAACATTTATTTTAATCTCTAAATAATAGTCTGAGATGATTCCAATGAAAAGTGCGAGGGGAGCTCCTGGCCTCCAGGCCCCCGGAGCGCGAGTTGAGTCCCGCCTGAAGCGTGGAAAGGCAAGGCGCAAAATCCATGTCCTATTGTGGCTAAATGCCCTGCCAAATCAAAACCTCATAGGATCCAGTATCCATTTAATTAGGGAACAGTTGTAGTAATAAAAAGTACTGAGATTAAATTTGTGACACGTTCTTGCATCAAAAACCGAACCAAAATTTACCGGCAAAGTCGGGATATGATGCCAAACTAAAAAAATCCCATCAGTTGTAGCCATGTTGGAAGTGGGGTCAATGGATTAATTTCAAAACGCCTGGGAATGACAAATTAACAATAATAGCGGTAGAAAACCGTCTTGTAGTCTTGTATGTGCTTGTAATGAATTCTTCATAAAATCGCATTCCTTATAAAAATAACTCATGAAATGAATTTCACATGCATTGTTTACCGAGAAAAGATCTGAAAGAGAAGGAAAGAAAGTATTGTTTCCTTTATCATTAATTTTGAGAAATGTGTTTTTGCTGCTTACGTCATATTCTCCCAAGTGAAAATACTGTTACGAATATTGCGTCACCTGCCGAATTCGCTGCGCGTGGATTGCGTCATCTGCTGGCGCCCCTTCCCTCCCCTCCGAACTAGACGGTTCCGGACTATCCGCGAGCCGCGGGGAAACGCCGAGAATGTGCCGGGTGCCTGGAGACAAGCGCCGGGCAGGTATAAATGCGCAGCTGCCGGCGGCCGCGAGTCAGTTAGTAGAAGACGTGAGTAGAAGTCAGTGGGTAGTAAGACGTCAGTGAGTAGCAGAGAAGCAGTCAGTCCGTCAGTGTGTCCGAAGTGGAAGCTGTGCTGTGAAGGGTGCATCGTGGTAAGCAGCAGTGCAGTGGACCCTGGTGTGCGCAGGGAATTGGGTCAGTGCAGTGGACCGTGGACAGAGCATCGGACTGGGTGATACTGCAGGAGAAGAGAACGGTGTAAATAAAATAGTGTGTAAGAAGTGAACTGTGTAAATAAATCATCAAGAGAACGGAATCGTGTGTAAAGAAAAATAATTAAGTGTAATATACCTGTAAATAGACCAAGTAGATTTTAGTGTATAATTGTTCACGAATAAACCTTCTTTGTTTAAATAATATTGTGTTGGTTTTAATTCACCACGGAGAAACGCTACAATACATTTTATAAACATTAACAGCTTGGGAATCAAATAATGGCCAGTGTGACGGCAACAGTAATGATAGAGAAAATAATTTTAGACTGAAAACAGTACCATCCTTACCAAATATTGTCCGTTGGGACTTTATTCCTGCAATCTTTGAAAAATGCTGCAAAAATCTGGCGTTATTATTTCAAACAGACGTCGTCTGTGATGAACTTCCGTATCATTGGACAAGTATCCTTAGGCAAACTTCAATGCAAACGTGAATTTTGCTGTGGATTCATTTCATGAGAATATTAATTGTGTGAAAAAACTTATTTTATATGAAACTATATTATTTAAGTCAATTTCATCCACACACAAAAAAACAACAAATTTTCAGAATGAAATGCCAAACTCACAACTTCCAACGCACGAGTTCTTCCCTACAACATTGCTAGATTGTTACATTGCGGTGAGTTTGAAAAAATGTACCGAATGTTGTTTACTTACTTGTATGGAGATAGGAAACCGGAGCTGGCTTCTCAGAGCGTCTTTAGTCTTTCGCCGCTGAAGATCTACTGAATGTGAGGCAGCGTTTTGAGATAGTAATCAAGGTTGCTCCAGTTTTAAGTGCCTAAGAAATAATTATTTATGTGCCAGCAAAGAAGAGGAAAAATTAGAAGTAAAACTAGATATGAAGTAATCATGTCCTAATTGAGTTCTGTTATTCTGCTGTAGTTGAATCATAAGGTCAAATGCTATCTGTATGTAGTGTTGACGTCGCACAGATGGTCAGGATTGTGAACGACCTGAACTGTCCCCGGAACGAAACACAAATACTAGATGCTGCGACAATCTTGTTGTTTCCCATTTAGCCTCGTCGTTAACATACACAAGTAAACAAAGCATGCAGAGCTGTGCACATTTTTCATCTTTTCTAGAAGAAAATCATTTTTGAAAACTCTTTACTAAAAATATCATGGTCTTTGTAAGTCGTTTCAAGTTCAAGAGCAGGTCCTTAACATTATCTCCTCCGTATCAATGATTACTTCCTACGTAATCACTTGCGTAGTACAACCAAGGACAGAATCTTGGTTCTTCATTATTGGTTTTTCATTTGTCTCCAAATCAGTTCAGTGGGTTGCACTGCAAAGACCGCTCGCTCTCACGTTTTAGTCATAGAAGTGAATACTCAACATTCATTTATAGCTAATTTTGTCTTAATTGATTTTTTTTGAAAAAGTGTCAATTCTGTTAATTTATTCTTCCATAATTGGTACTTTTGAAAATTTCAACCATTGATTTAGTTGCATCACATTTTGTGTTTCGGAACTTGTATTATTTTTACACATTTCGCCAAAAACGTTTTTAATGTCTAATGCATTATCGACACGCATTCATAGATAGATCCCCACCCACAAGGATCAGAGACTGCGGAAAATTTCGTTCAAGCAAAACGAAGGACGTTACAGAAAGCTACCATTACTTTAGATAATAAAATGATAGGTTGTATTGTTTTAGAAAAGAAGAGTAATGAAAGTAAATAATGTGTGTACCTGTTTTGAGCGATGCACGCAATGGACACTTTATTCTTCCGCTTCCTAGTGTCGCGTCAAAACACTGTGTCGTCGACCAGCATTCCGCACGTCCCGCTGCCCTGCGTCTGCGGTTGCCGGCCCCCGCTTTCCTCACCCTGCGGCTGCCCTGCGGCTGACCTGCCCCTCGACCCTTGGCCTCGTCGGGCGAGGCGGTTGCTGCGCGCTCTCAACGCCTCGACTGGCCTCGCCACGAAGCACCCATAATCAGGAGTAAACGCAATATAGTAAACGTCTTTCACATGTTAAACTAAATACGTACGTTGTTAATACAAATGGATATGTGCATGTCGAAACGTACATGCACTATATATTCATATTTAAGGTGGCTGTGTTTTAGGTCGTTTATATCATATATACATATATATTCATTATTTATCATGTATCATCAAAGAACTCACGAACTATTAAATTAACATTTCAACAAAACTATTGTCGTAATAATAGTTTCGCCTATGCATTCACAGTTGTTATGTAATGTCTAGAAGAGAAGGTCACGCATGTGTGCCTTTCAAAGATAAGGATGCTCATCTGTTTGCAGACTTCTGTAGTTACAGATGCTGCTGGAAATTCTTAATAGAAAACTACTGCCACTTAACGAACGTTTCTAAACGTTGAGGTTTGTATGCCTCCTTACATTTCGCATTTTCAATACGAAGCTACTCATATGTTTACTGTCATGAACCGGAAAGATAGAGATGTATTCAGTAAAATTAAATTACAAAAAGTAAATGTCTTATGAACAAAACGAAGAGTAATAAAATATCTTGAATTCTGGAAATATTTCTTAATTACTGTGCTTCTCATTCTCGTCTTCAATGACTTTCAACAGCATCCGGTTTGATCTCAAAGCCGACCAGATTTGTCCCACCATGGTCTATATGCATAGCAGCTCTTGAGCATTACATATTTAACTTGTGTGATATGAAAAGAGTATGTGACACATTTCACATGACACTAGAGTTTTCGTCAATCCAGAAATGGCAACATTTGCTTTGTGGTGTAACACTTACTCCCACTTGTCGCTTCTCAAACTCAGGCGGTACACAACTGCCGGAGCAACGGCGAGTTGAAGCGCGTGAAATTGAAGGTTGTTAAGCGCGGCCCGGGGCTGCTGGCGGTGCACTCACCTGCACGAAGCGCTCCCCCGCGCGAGCAGGGCGCTCTCCCTGCCGCGGCGTGGACCTCGCGTATGCGCGCCGCCCCGCGCGCCGCCCCGCGCGCCGCCCCGCGCGCCGCCGGTTTTCTGCGCGCCCGCCCCGCGCGGACCCGCCACGCGCCGTCACCTGCACACCGCGTGCCACATGAATCGACTGGCGTGCGCGCGGGATTAACAGGAAGTGAGGCTCGCTCTGCTTAAGGACCTTAGTGATTAGTGAACTCCTAACAACACGAGTGTGAGCGGTGGCTTAGCGATTATTTTTCACATGGCGATCAGCTGATAGGTACATGCGTCACGATTACGAGGGCCCTGTCTTATGACTGCGGTGCACGACAATCACCATTGATCTTTTATAGAAACAAGTTGGATTCTCGACAATTAAACTAATCTCTGACCTTGGAAAACATGCGTGAGAGTTAACTTCGAATCGGAAAGAATTCGGGTGGAGGTCGAGATTCATCTCTTGGACGGTTAAAGAAGGCACGCGGTATCGGGCAGTGTCCTTAAGTCTTTCCAGTAGATGTGGACTCCGTTAAAGTAGTGGAGGAGATCGTCTATTATCTAAAAAGCTCCAGTTTTGGAGAAAATGTTCTGAATGTGTTAGGCGGTAGGACGGTAGCGTTGACAGCGGACGAACAAACGAACAGATGTTTTACCGTCAACCAGTTGTTTGGTGTGAAGGGTCTACAAAAACTCAATTCTGACTACATGACTGACCCATGTTAGAGGAAGTAATCCACTACATATAAGAACAAGATTTATCCATTTGATTTCTGGACCCCATAAGACGAGTTTTTCAACAGCATTCCAGAAATTAAAAATACTACCTGTAATTACTATTGTATACATTCTGCCATCAAGACTCTGGGGACGCGGGCAGCACCATCGACGAGTTCGTGAGCACGATGGTGGTGGGCGCGGTGAACCTGGGCGCCGTGGTGCTGGCGACGGCGCTCATCGACCGCCTGGGGCGGCGGGTGCTGCTGGCGGCGTCGGCGGCCGCCATGGCGCTGGCGCTCGCCACGCTGGGCACCTTCTTCTACCTCAGCACCTGCACCGACGCCGACGTCAGCGGCTACAGAGTCCCTGGTGCCTTTGAGAATGATAAAACAAACATACATCGCTTCACAATTAGCCATGAAACATTTCTCTGTATCGGTGACGGGTAGTGCAGGATTCTTTAGAGGAGGAAATATTTCATGCAGAGACCGTACTATTACTTTGAATGAAACATACAATCTATATTAAATGCACGCATACACAAAATTCGTTACATTTGCGGTAACGTTACCAGTAGAAATAATCTGCTAGTAGTTCCCTTAAGACTAGATTAATGCGATATTTGTTTTTACCAAAAAGTGTCAATTTTAGCGAACAATCAATATGACTCCGTGATTTTTCCTACCTCTAAATTCCAAGACCTAAATTTCTAATATCATTGAAATCAGTACTTAAAATATCCCACGAATTTGAAACTAGGACGCATGTACACACAAAGAAATTCGTCTTTACTGGCAACCCACAAACTAGGTCGATTTATCGTACCACCTTGTAGGAAGTATCAGCTTCCCTTCCTCTGTGCCTCCGCATAAAAGGTCCAGTAATGGTGGAGTGCAATGTCCTTTCTCTACTACAATAAACTGTTCTTGTAAACTGACTTTTTTAAATTGGCCAAAATATTTTTAAATATTCTCTCACTTATTTTTACACAATTGAAAAAAAATAACAATTCTAGGAAAGAATCTCCGAACAGTACAGCACAGCTGACTCGGTTATCACATGAATCATGATGTGAACGGAGTGCAAGAAGAATACACTTTCTGTAGGCGAGCCTTATTCACTGCCTATCAAAATGCTCTGTTTGTCGCCTTGAATTGGAAAAGGAAGGGAAAGGCTCAGTTCTGAAAGAGGTTCTCTTTGCCCTACCACCAAGTACCTCTGGCTACGTCCTGGTTCATGATTCATTCGCGTATGGCGGCCCAGCAGGAGCGGAGTGTTCATTTCATTCCTATAGTTGACATTAGATGGCATTCTGCAGGAGGATCTCCTCCCTTCGCTCCGCCTTAGAGCTGCATTGAAAAACGTTTCATCTTGCCGCCGTAGCGTTGTAAATGCCTTATAGACCATTACTACACGAGAGGAGGAAATGCTAAGAATGCCCCTTCAAAGTGATTTCGAGTTTTCGCGTTTCCTGACAAGCATGCGCAGTTTAAAACTCGCTCAAAGACAATTTGTCTCCAGGTATCTCCGCAGCACCGCCCATGTCCGAATAAACTCTACTGGTGTGACAATGTAGTGGATGTAGGTGTGTGTGTGTAAGAAGAGAGAAGGGGCAAGGGTAAGGAAAGGAAGATTGCGAGCAACCTGTTGCCCGTTTGTTGGAATACTGCTCGCAGGAAGCTACCATTCAGAGCAGACAGTCACCAGAATTCTTCTTTGGACAGCGACTGTATTCAATCGAGCAATCTAGTTGTCATCAAGCACTCAAACCCTGAAAGTACCCAACCATTCTGAACAGTATGAAAGCTGAAGTCACGAAACCAAATCGTGTGTCTTGCATTTTTTTACTTTCTTGTACGTACGTATATACGGAGTAATATACTACGTACTATAGGAAAAGTAATGTAGTACTGCGGAAAATCGATTTGATATTTAAACGGATATACATGTTTTGGGGTCCCTTGACCGAAAAAGTGTTTGTTTTTTTTGAAACGTCCGTCTGTCTGTCCGTCCGTCTGTCTGTGAACACTACTAGCGCGGAATCCATACGTTTGTATGCCATTTTCTATTACTGTGCAGTAGTCGGCTCCGACGAAACGTACCACAAAAAAGAAAACGTCATGAGAGGATTAATTTCAAATCTACCGCAGCTATCAGTTCGTCACACGTTCTGCTGAGGGGGA